CAAACAACAGACTTACGGGAAAAATGGGAACGTATCCAAAAATGAGAATGGGCGTTTGTTTTTAGAAAGCAAACCACGCCTTTGCAACTCCCCCCAAAAAAGTTGACAGTGCTTAGGCTTAGGCCCATTATGCTTTTTTTTTTCTTTTTTTATGCTCCTGAAACAAGTCAAATTTGCCCACGATTATGCGTTTTTTTTGCAAATATGCCCTGACCTATGCTCTAGCTATGCTTTTTTTTCTGGTGGTCATGTGCCTCAATTCGATACTTCATGCTCGCTATCCTGCTTGTTTTAGGTAGTTATGCCTCGCCCAATCTTCTCTTCGAAGCCGGAGGTGTTCTGTTGTTGTCTTTTGCTGGGTACATTGGCTGAAATTGACTGTTTTTCCTCCAAAAAAATGGGCAAACGGCAAGAGCGGCCGTTAGCTTGCAATACACTATTAGACCTGTGAATGCTCTTCATCATCCTCATCATCATGCTCTTCGTTTCGAATGTCGAAAACTCTCGACTCCTGACATTTAAGTGGCAAACAGCACACTTTGACGCCCTCTTTCGAAAGCTTCTCCCCAATACAAAAGCAGATACACGAGCTGCGCTCACCTAAAAACTAAACAGGGAGAGACAAAAACAGTCGAGCCACCGAAGGGAAGAAGCGGCGCTACATAAGCAGCTGCAGGCAAAGTCAGCAGCACTTTTAGCAACGATGAAAGAATGCCTTCTAGCTTCTAGCACTGGAAGCCCTGTTGTACTTGAGAAGGGTTGATGCCGTAATCCGGTCGCTGAGGCACTGCTCCTGCCGCTCGTCCATGCAAGCACGAAGCAGAGAAAACACCCGTTCCATGAAAGCGGAAGAGGGTTGGATCAAAGCTACGTCCTTGGCTACATTGTACCAAGCAGGGAGTTTAAGCCTGTTGTCATGCCAGAAAGCCCACAAATCACACCCCGAGTCCGTGCCAGCCGCCGCGGTGCTGTAGAGATCCTTTTCTACTACGAGCTCATGGACCATGGCCGTTGTCACGAACGGAAATACTTCTGCTAGGACGTGTACGTCCGACTCCTCCACTCCGTGCCCCGTCACGACCCTAAAGTTCAGGATTCTCGCGGCCTTGAAGACCCGAATAGCATTGCGTTCCTTGGCTCCTGGGTGGTCCCCGATCCTGTCAAACGCGTACTGCCGGACGGCATGCATGTCGAAGAGTGCCTTCTCCCTCAGCCACTTCTTGACCGACTCCTGCAACCCATGAACAGTACAAACACACGAAGTGGGCGTCAATAGGAGGAGGTGACGTGATGGTTGTGTGTTGTGATCATGGAGGGGGCGTCATCGAACACAGCTCAACAATTTCTGGTCGCACAAGCAACTTCCACAAACGGACTCCCGAAATACTCACGTTGGCGTTCACGCTGTTGGAGTACTCCCTCACGAGCGCGTTCACGTTAGGCATGTTCACCTTGTCCTCAAACCGCGGAGGGACGTTGCTGTCCAAGGTCAGGGCCAGACCTTTGCGCACACTCACGATGGCATCGTACGCCTCAGGTAGCTATCGGTGGCAAGGGGTGACGGTACGGGAAGGGAACACATCAATAACATATAGCGGCAGATGACGAACACCGAACGACCACACCTACGAAAGGTAGGTGCGAAATATAAGGGCCTCTCGGGTAAGTGCTTACCAGGAATCCGTCTCCCTCGAGTAGATGGGTGGGACGGACCAGGTGGATCCCGACGTCCACAGCTACCGCGAATCCCAGCTGCAAGATGAGCTCCTGGTGGACACCATCCGGCCGAACACGCCCGAGCTCCTCCCTCATCGCAGCGGCCGACTTGGACCTGGACTCTTCGGTCGAGGTGAACTTGTCGACGAAGGTCTTCATCTGCTGCCAGTTCAGCACCAAGGCGTTGTTCCGCACGTAACGCGAGCTCCAGCGGTGAGAAACAGGTTTCGGAGGCGACACCTTCGTCTCCTGCAACCACAAGTCTCTAGCGTTGTGGCTATGGGCCAGGAGTACGTGCAAGTGGCCAGCGAATTTGTCGGTCTCCTCCGAGCTCAGCTCGTTGCCACAGTTGTTGAGGAGGTGGGAGAAGCACCGAACGCCGACAGCGTTCGGGAAGTTCAGCAGCAGCGTGTCCAGGGCCTTCATGTTGGCGCCGCATCCGTCGAGCATGAAACCGACGCACTTGCTGCGGTCTATTTTGTACTCGTCCACCGTGATCTTCATGACTTCGCCGTGGATGGCCTTGAAGTCCATGGACTTGCTCAGCATGCTCAAGTTAAGCACTCGCTGGGTGATCTGCCGGCAAAAAGGCATGAAGAACGAGAAAGAAAGCGAAAGAGAGAGAGGCAGGGAGGGCGGGGGAAGGAGAAAGAGACGAATCAGAAGAGAGGTTTGAAACAAAGCGACCTTGTGCATGACTTTTTCACGAACCATTCGTACGGTACCCTACCCTCCAGCTGAAAAGCACGTATCACCTCCCTACGCGAATTGAACCATCTACATCACGGCACAACCTAGTACCTGTCCTTCCTTGTTGACGAAACGGATACCAATCCCGAAGCACGCAGCGCGGTACGGCGTCTCGTCGAATGTGATCGCATACCGGGAGTCCCCAACCTCGTCGAGAATCCGCTGCTTCTGTCGTGCAGGGGACACATTGGGAGTCGGGCCGTTCGACGATTGCACGAGTGGTAAGGGACAACATTTTTCACGCGTTGATTCCAAGAGGCGGGTAAGTTACAAACTTGCCAAATAAATACAGACACAAACTCGTTGCGGTCATGTCGACGATCCAAGGCAGCCCCGTATGCAAGACGGCTCGGCCTCACCTCCTTTTTCTCGATGAAAGGGATGTAGTTGGCAAGGTGCCGTGCTCCCGGCAGCCTCGCCCCCAAGTGGTGTAGGAAATCCTTCATCAGTGAATTCTCGAGGGCGTTGAGAGGGACCCCGGCAGACAGGCACGCCTCGACTGCCATGAACTGCGTCGCCTGTTCTTTGGGAGGAAGCTTGCTGCCGTAGCTGCCTCCGAGCAAGTCAGAGTACTCTCGGAAATTATCCAGAGACGCCTGTAAAGGCGAAAGATAACCGTGCGTTCGAGCAAAGTCGTGTTCAACAACGTCAGTCCCGGAGTTTAGTGTTGGCCATTTCGTTTTGGTACTATCTAGCACTTGGCAACAGCGTCATCAGCGAACAAACGTATAAAAACAGAGCAGCGGCACGGCAATATACTCCTATATGACAGCGTGAGCCGCGAAACACAAAGCGAAGGAAAAAAAACACCGTGAAGTCAGACGTCCCTTCTGTGCTACACTGGTTGATCCACTGTTGAAATATACAAACAATAAACAACGGCAATCAGCAGCAGCACATTTAAAATAGCATGGACGAGTACAAAAACAAAAGTACACTAGGCTAGACTAGTCTAGTGTATTAAAAATATTTTGCACATGTAGACTCCAGCACCACAAAGCACGATAGTGTGCTGCTGTGTAGAGCTACAGTATCCAGCCTAGTCTTCTATCGCTTGAAAAAAAAATACCTGCTTTGCTTCTTTCTTCCGGCGGTAGTCCTTCGTTGCCTTGCCGTGCTCCACGCCGGACACGTGGTTCCTCACGGTTGATTTCTTCTTCATGTCTATCGGCTTGTTGCAGGCCGCGCACGTGAGGACGCCGCAGCGAACTTCCAGAGTGTGGTTCGGAAACTCCTTCAGCCTGTCGTAGGCACTGATTCTCGATCTGACAGCGCGCTGCTTCCCCGCCGCGGCCGATGATAACTTACGCTTGCGCTTGCTGCCCACCGTTGCCTCCTCCTCCTTCTCCTCTTCCTCGTCATCCCCCTCCTCACCATCATCGACGCGTTGTTTCCTCCGTTCGCGGTTTACCCTCACAACCCTACGCCTATCGATGTGGGACGCTCGAGCGGGTGCTGTCGGGTTCGCCGCTGCTGCCGCCACCTCTTGCTGGCGTGTCGTGTTGCGCTTTCGCTGTGCGGCGTTTGCGTTGGGCAAAAAGCTGAACATGCTTTGCTGAACCGCACCCGCCGCACCACGGGACGAGGGATCTTTTGGTGGGGGATCCCTCGTATCCTTTTCTGTCGCGGGAGCACGACCTGTTGGGTGCGATCTGCTGTGGTTGGAGGTCTGCACGATCTTTTGAACCTCTGGCGCATCAGACTCCGAGCTAGAAGAGTTCGAGCTTGAGCTTGAGCTTGAGCTGGAGCTTGAGCTGGAGCTGGAGCTGGAGCTGGAGCTGGAGCTGCTGGAGTTAGAGCTGGAGCTAGAGCTAGAAGAGCTGGAAGAGCTAGAGCTTATCGCCGAGCGCGCCATGACATCCGCAGGGGAAGCCCGTGTGTGTGCGTGCATGTGCGCGCACGTTGCTGGCTGCTTAAAAACACTTGTCCATTATTATCTCATCGTTTGTCTCTGTTTATGTCGAAGTACCCGAATAATCGAACGATCGAACACCAGGCGCCCTCAGGCCATGTGTCAAGCACCGAAATGCCCTTATCTATGAGCGTTATGCTCATTATGCAGCAGTGTATGCTCGTCGCGCGTGCATATATGCTCCTTCGGGGCTGAAATATGCTCGAGCATTGCTCCTTTTTAGTTATGCTTTTTCTTATGCTCAAAAGGGCCATTTATGCTAAAAGCTATGCCCGCATAATGGGCCTAAGCCTAACAGCGCTGTAGGTCTTTACAGCAGCTTTCGAATGAGCTGTTGCTCAAGCTGTATGTCCTCGGCATCGCCGAGGTAGCCAGCATCGCGAGAAATCAGGTCGAAACCAGCACGAATCGCTTTTTGCGCCCGTGAGAAGGCGTGATGTGGAGCATGGCGGTTCTGATGAGCTCATCTCACAGCTGGGGCGAAGGGGTTTCGCAGGATAATTTTGGTTCTGTGATACACCCGATGGTTCTGAAGAAAAACGCCAATTCTCATTTTTGGATACGTTCCCATTTTTCCCGCAAGTCTGTTAAACGTTCCCTAGAAGTAATCGACGGTGTGAAGATGCGAGGCGTGTGGATTGGTGAACGGACAGATGGGCACCGGAAGGCATGGATCACGCCCGACATCGCTTCAGGAGGTTTCAGCACTGGAAAGTACCTAGCCGGGGGACCTACGAAGCCTCATGAGGTGGCTTTCATCGAAAAGCACGCAATTTGCGCAGGCAGCGACTTCAACTGCTACCTTCGTGCGAAACACGGAGCAATGCTTCGCCGCGCCACCAAACGCTGGTGTCTGACCACTAGCGCTGGGAGAACGTGGTTTCTGGATCTGAGCCGCAGCGAACTCGACCGCGTGCCGACAGTCGAGGAAGGGTGCTTCATGGCCATCGTCATCCTCGAGGAAGCTGGCATCTCGGCGGAGCACCTAGTCGAAGAGGTCTCGCCGTGGTTTCACCTGCTACGATTTTTCCCCGAACTTGTCGAAACCACAGCTGCTGACGGTTCGATCTCGAGCATACGCAGCGTTGGAGACCTTTTGTCTACGTTTTCAACCCTTCTTCACCGTTTCGAGGGCAAGATGGTCTTCGATCGATTGCGAAGGACAGCTGCCGAGAACATCTACATCCCCACTTACAAGGCCGTGGTGGAAGATGCTAGGCGCTTTTGTGTGCTGTGGTCGGCTCGAGTCAACACAGCAGCAGCAGCAGCAGCACCAGAAGACGACCCCTGCTGCCTAGCGCCTAGTGCTGCTTTGTGCCTCGCCACGATGCGCGCTAACCTCATCCTCTTCGGTTTCGAGAAAAAACTTCGCCGGTCTTCCCTGAGCAAGCTTTTCGATGCGCTGGAGGTGGTCGTGCTCCACGGCGAAAAAACCCGTCAGACGTTCGTGGAGCACATCCAGCGCCACGCTGACGCGGCGTCCGCTAGGCTGGCGCGCCGCGGCAGCAACAGCACCCCCCCCACCGCAGACATGCCGCCTCGCCGCCAAGCCTTCTTGCACCAGCTCCGAGGCCTCGTCCAAGAGCTAAGGCAGAACGAGTCCCCTTCGAACGGCTTGTCCATGGATCGTGTTGCGGACATGTCGAACCAATTTCCACTCTTCAGTGTGGAGATCAGGCGCGTCAAGCTGGGGCCGTTGGGGGAACTTGCTGAGGCAGGTCTCGTCAGCTCTTCGGAAATGCTGGCGTTGCAGGCCGAAGGTCTTGCCGTGAAGCACCGAGCGACACACTTTGCCCCTGAGCCAGCCCGCACCCTCGCGCCCCATGGCTTGACTGCTTTCATGAAGCGAAGGTCGCGCCTGCTCCTCGCTCTTGCCACCCAAGTCCGCGTTTCAGAGATCCCGTGGTTCGGCGCGCTCGCCGACACTTTCGACACGAAGAAGAGCGATGGTCACCCGGACGAGGTCGTGCGTCCCGTGAACCGCGTGGCGAGGGAGGTCTTCCGGGCGCACGTGACGTGCTTCGCCGGCACGCAGACGCCCAACAGGCTCGTGAGGTTGCTTGGTGAGTACCTGGAGAGCAAGGGTCTGGTGAAGGAGATCGCGGCCGACATCTTTCAAGGGGCGTTCCGTGGCACCTTTGGGGCCCAGGCGAAGCAGCGCGAGGAGATTCTCGGCCCCGGCACGCCCTACGGGAACTAGACTACTACGCTAGAGTGCTGGTCGAGTTCCCCCGCGACGCCGCCTCCCGTACCGTCAGCATGTGGGAGTTGGGGTCTGAGTTGAGCCTCGGGGAGTCGGAGGGGTGCGGCAAGAGGACCGTGGTGAAGAACGGCATCGCTATCGAACGCGTCGCGGCGAACACCACGCACAACCTCCTCCACCTCGTGGTCGCTCTCGAGATGGACAAGAACGCCGCCGTGCTGGAGCATGCGGCGACGGTGGCCCCGGCGAGGCTCGCGGAGAGCCTACGGTCGAAGAGCACCCACTACAGGTTCCTCCGCGACGAGTCGCGTCGCGCGGCGGCCTGTTGCCGCGCGTTCTTGGTTTTCGTGAGCCTCCTAAAGAAGGTGGTCGACGGCTACGCTTTTGCTGCCGATGCAGGAGTGCGTTTTAGTTGCGTCAGGCATCGCCCGTTTGTGCTTGTATCCGCCATGTTTGGTTCCGGGTTTGCGATCATCGTGCCTGTCTTTACGCACCAATGCCACAACGGACGCGCTCGGACCTAGAGCACAGAAACACAAATATGCAGTCTTGCGCATTCCTCGGCGTGCGGGCGCAACAGGTGGCTCGCTACAAGCAGCCCTTCCGAGAGAGGAGAGGTCGGTCTCAGAAGGGGGCATTCATCGGGCCTAGAGTACCCCCTGCGGAGGCCACCGAGCCAAAAAAGTGCGACAAGATGCGTGCGATGGCTCTTTGATGTAGAAGCACTTGGCTGAATGCTTTTCGTTCGATCGTGCTGGGCAAGCCTGGACGATGCTGTTCATCCCCCGACAAGACTGCACCTTGTTTTTCCAAGTGGTGCATGTTTCTCCTTGTGTGCATCAGACCTCAATAGGATCTGCTGGAAACACCTTTCGAACCGCCATAACGCGAAGGAAAAGTCATCTGGTGCGCGGTGAAAGTAGGCGGTTGGTAGTCCCGCTATAATAGACCACAAGAAACAGAGAGGCCTAATGACCAGAGGTCGGAGAGACAACGGACACGATCTCCGAACGACAGAAAAAAATATTGAAATGGACAAGATTGAAGAAATCTATGCGTTCGGCCTAGGACATTGCAGATTGTCTGCACGAAGCACAAAGTCGTGGCCCTTCATTCATTTATCGCCGCAACGAATTCGAAAGGAGCCAGCAGCGCATGGAAGCGGTACTGGATGATGTCTACTGGGACGAGCATGGGCGCCGGTACAGCCGCGGCGATCGCGGTGTTGATGATGCCGGTGTTGGTGATGGTGCCGCCGGAGGTCACGGACACGAAAGGTCGGGAGAGATCGGCGTGGCGATGGAAACGGTGCGGTGAGTCTACACACCGGCGAGTGTGTGCGCCGCATCGCAAATAGAAACACGTTGGGCGCGTGTTTCCGCTGCCACTGTTTCCGCGAGCAGAAGGAGATACGTCTGCCGTTGACGCCATTGTATTGCCACGCACGCAGGAGAAGGCTTCAGCAATTCCCTTCCCTGATCTCTAACCACGAAAAGCTAGTAGACCGGCTACCCGTGAGCCACGCGTGTTCGAGATCTGTCAACAATGGGCACACGTGGCGCCTAAAGGAGAGCATGCCGTGCTCTGAAAAATTGCGTGCTCATAATCAACCTGTGCTGTCCCTTGTTCGTTTATCGTCCATTTCTCGGCCCTATGCCTGCTTCAGTCCTGGGTTTCCCCGCGTGCCGACCATGAACGCCGAGTCGACGAACTATGCTACAAACATGTTGTAGATGGAGCGGCCTTGAAACATGTTAGCGTCGTTGCCGCTTTTTCCGCATTCGATCGCGCCAGGAGGGTGGCCGCGGCTTGTGTGGAGGAGGGAACAGACTTCGCACAGCCGTTCCGAGATATGGACGCTGATGGTATGCACTGAACGAGACATGACGGGGTAGGTGCCTCTTCCTTAGGCTGACTCTAACGTGCCAACGCGCCGGACGTAATTTTTTCATTCTCGGATGTAAGCGAGTGATCCCGGTACATTTCCTCCGGACCGAAGACCAGAGCCGTCGAAGCCAAGGACGGGTGCTCGGACATAGCGTAACCCTGAACATGGGAGCTACCACAAAAGTTACAGGTTATCACAATTCACGTCATTGGCGTTAATGGAACCAAGAATCGCCCACGATGTGAATGTTCAACCGAGCGGCACCAGGCGCACGCCGTACAATACTGCTTGGACACTGGTTGAGGGGTCTTCCTCGTGTAACTCTTGCTTCGTTACGGAGGAAATACCGGTCGTCCGGTCGCCACCCATTTATACATGTGATGGAAGCTATGTTGCCTCTTACTTGCACGCGCTGTTCCCATGGATGCTCTTACTGAAAGCGACCAGGCGCGATTCTGTTCTCCAGGCGGCTTTTTCCTCTTCTTGGTTGTTGACGTTGGCCTTCTGCTAGTGCGCTCTCAACTCTGCTACTCTACTAAAAACGCTCTTGATTTCGTCTTCCTGTTTGCAGGCGATGGTCGCTTGACCCTTGCGGAGATGGGTGCCGCCTTGAAAAGGGTTGGAGCGCGCCTCAGCCTGTCTCAGGTGACCGCTTTATTCAGGCATTTCGGCCGGGGGCGACCCGGCTTGGACAAGGTCGATCGCGGGTGAGTGAAAGAACGAACGCACGGGACGGCAAGCGGGGTTCTGCATTCCGTGTCGGAACATACATACACATTCTTTGAAGATTCTGGACGCAGTGAATCCTCTTTCAGGACGCCGGAAGTGCCACTTACCTTGAGGGACACTTCGTTCTCGTTCGCGCCAACGGTGCGAGTTTCTGACGTTGCAGGAGCAGGTTTGACGATGGTGTCGTACGTGCCTTGAAAAGTGCGAAAACAGCCTCTGGGCATTGCCCAAGGAATGCCTCTTCTTGACCCACTTCACGGCTTGGCCTTTCCCGAGACAAAACCTGTTTGGGTCTCCTGCTGGTTCATCTATTTCACGTCTCATCTTGATCGTTACCAACCCTCGCCACGCGCACCTGTCCGAATATTAATTTGTTCTCTTTCGCCGAGGCAGTGATATCCTGTGGGACTTCATCGACACAAAGCGTCTGACGGAGCAGTGGCGGAGGGCCGGGGACATGGGCGGCGGACACCGCGCCCGAACGGTCCCTTTTCGAAAGAGGGTGCGAGCGAGCAAGCGCGAAGACTATTGGCATACTATTCCTGAGCTTGGCGAGAGAGCACCAGTGAGCGAAAGAGACGCCGGTTTTCTGACACACGCTCAGGGGTCGAACGAAACTACTTAGTCGCGTCGAAACAGATCAACGTCTGAAGGGAACTGATGGTACTTGGCGGTCTGAAGCCACACTTCACTCGAATACTCGGGGGGAAGGCCAAGGCTGGCATCGGGGGTGACGAATGGGCAAAGCTGAGGCAGCATCCACGGGCCGAGTGCGATACTGTTGATCGCTACGGCCGAGGTTTAGACAATACCCTGAAGGTCCTTCCGAGTCCCCCTCCCCCCTCCCTTTGTTACATAGCACCAAGGGCTGGAGAAAAAGTTGCAGAACCTTTGCTCTCCTCATGCTCTAAGCTATTCCTCTATATCCGAGGCGGAAGCGCTGCTGCTGCAGACGTCTGCGAAATCAAGGGTTGAGGGAATAGCAATTGCTTTCAGGAAACAACGACACGGTCTCCTCATTTCGCCCTCGCGCAGCCCTCCCGTCCTCTTCCCCCCCACTGCACCTGGTTGTTTGCGCTGGCCTCAGCGACGCGTCGCTTCTGCTCTTCCTGGCGAACCCTCTCCGTCACCAGCATGAGATCCAGCACCCGCTGGGTCGCCGCTCATGCCCAGGCCCGCTTCTCGGCGTCGTCGTCGCCGCCACCTCTAGACTGTTGTTGTGGCGATGCGGGGTTGTGTGAAGTGTGTGAACATATTGCGTCTCCAGAAGAAGTAGTCAGGTGCGCCAAAATGCGGCAGTAAGCGGGCAATTCCACGCAGCTTCGCCAGTCTGTGCCAGAAGGTTGTTTCTCGTATCAAGCTTGTCCTCCCAGAACTATTGTCAAGAACAGCTGAACACTATTCCGGGCAGTATCTCGGCAAAAGTTGCGATGCTCTGACGCTTTGGTCACTACCCCGACCAAGGAAGTTTCCGGCAGAACGACAGCCCGTTCTTACTGGCAAAACATACCACGGCAGATGTGGCAGAGATAAACGATGTGTGCACGAAAACATACGTTGGTGGTGCTGACGTCGGCGGTTTTCCATGCCCTTCGTTCGGCAGCGTTCGCAGCTGCTTCTGCCCTCCGTCGGCCCTCCCTGCATTCGTGGAAGAGGAACCAATTGTTGGGGTGCATCAATGTTCCCTGTGGAGCAAGCCACTCATGTCGCAATTCTCAACGCGTGGTCCATCAGAGCAACAGCTCACTCTGTTGAAGAAACTTGGAAGGCACAATATCGATGCCCGTGCTGAGATTTTGGTACGGGAATCGATTGACCAGATGGCTGGCGTCCTGACTGGCTCGGTGGCTCACTCTGCTTCCGTGAGCTCCTTTTGGCAGGCTTGGAGGTAGCGAGTCAGTCTCCACCGGTCGTCGTTCCAGCTCTCGGTACCGCTGAAAATCACAAAAATATTCAAAGCGTAGAGGGCAATACCACGTAAAAAATTGCATTCCACTCACTCGGACTACTCCAGTAATGATGTCGACCACACGTCACGAGCAGCTGTTGTTGAAGCAGTCTAAGTGTCGTTTCATTTTCGGGTATCCCTCCACCACCCCCCTCCGGCTCAAGAACTTTGTCGCCAGCCTATCCAACGCGCGCATGACGATCAGCCCTTCACCCGTTTCTTATCTCCCGCTTGCCCCACAGTCTATCACATGCCTCCCCCCACGTCTCCTGATTCACCTCAATGGCAAGCCGGTGGTGGCATCCTTGGTTCCATGCCTACTCTTCCCTCGCGAGACGGCCATGGTTGTCATTGGCCTGGTACCACCCGAGGCTGTCGGGCTTCTCGTCCACCCTCCCCTCCCCTCGTGCGGAGGTCGCCGCCCCCTGGACGCTCCTGCTCCTCCTCTTACCGATCCCCGGTCACCGTCGTCAGTCCCCAATCTCTCGATAGTCCCACCGCCGGACGCCCACAGTCTACTGCTACCGCTACCGCCGCCACCGCCGTCTGAAGAACTGGGCCTTCGGTGCGTTCCCAGCTGTTTCTCGGGTTGTGCGTCTGGGCTGGTCTGGTAAAAGTGTTGGTCTTCATCTCGAGCCCACCACTCATCAATACCGCCCGCATCTTCGCCGCGACCGTTGGTCTCAGGGCGCGAAAGTCCAGCAGCTGTGCTGGACAGAGCGTCTTAGAACCTCCCGTACGAAGGAGGCGGTAGGTCCCTTGCGAGGCGGTCTTTCTCATCCTCCATTCCCTCCGCGGACGCCGAGGAGGAGCGGGCTGTCCCTCCACCCGACGCTGTGGAGTGGTAGCTCGGAGGAGGCCCAAGGCTAGCGTCCCCGTCGGAAGAGAACGAGGAGGCGTCGCCACTCGATATGACAGAGCCTGACGGCACATGTCTTGTTGCCGCCTCTCGAGAGGATGGCGTTCTTTGATGGTGGTGCTGCGCAGGACCGGTCTTCGGTGTCGGTGATGAGCGCTGCGTTGCGGCGTAGAATTTCATAGCCTCTGAGTAGTGAGGCGGCGGGGTCTTTTTTGGTAAGGCGGCGGTGGCGGGCCTGACCCTGATCTTGACGGTCCACCGTCGGTGGGTGTGCTTGCTACTGTCATGTGCGATCTGGGGTCTCTCGACCACGGGTCTGCATCGTCCCACCAATGCCAGAGTGGCTCCTCATTCCCTCCTCCCCCCGCCATCGCCGCAGATTCCCAGGCGGCGATCGGTGGCGCTGCTGTCCCGTCGACAACAGCACGAACCGCCGCGTTCGATGGCGAAGAGTCCTCGTCTTTTCCTTCCTTCGCGTCTGCCCGTCCGCCATACTGTTGACCCGACCCCCTCCTGTCACCGCCGCCAGATCGGCTGCTGCCACGCCTGGCAGTGCGTCTCACAGACGCACCCTTGGTACCATCGTGGTCGTTGTCTTCGTCGTCGCCGGCACCGTTTCCAACACCCTTTTCGCTCGTGTTGATTTCACGGTTCGATATCTTAAGCACCCACCTCTTTCCGCTCTCCCGATCATCGCCTAGCTGCCCATCCTCGTTTGCAACGTCTGGCTTCCCTCACTCGACCGCTACCTCGACGATCTCGAGCCTCCGCAGCAGCCAGAGCACCAGATGTTCGCGTCGTGGTGGACGCCCGGTGGTTATCCACCTACGCAAGCCTGCATCAGCACCTGCTGCTGCATCTGCTGCCGCTACGGCTGCTGCCGTAGAGGATGTCACAGCCACAGTGCTGGCAGTAACTATTGTGGAACTCGTTGCTTCCTTGCCTGTCGCTCCCGATGAATGTTGGGACGCGCTGCCACCCCCGTCGGCGGGAAACACGGATGAATGGACCCAGCTGAACCCCCGACCCCCCAAAAAACACAAGAGAGCGAGGGCCGGTTGTAACACTCAGTCAAATTACATTTGTGTCGATAGGGGCTCCATTTCCATCGCAATAGTACTACTGTCGGTGCTCCTTCAAGGGCGTGTCGTAATACCCAGGGGCACCTATGCAAAGAGAACGCGGCGACAGGTAGCCTGGTGTACGCGAACGTTCGAATACGAACGTTTCCAAAGTTACCAGCAAATGCCTGGACGAGTACTCGCATACATATATTCGTGCACCTATGTGATCGGATGTTAATTGTGCTGTCCACTGATTCTGCGTATCCGAATTAGTACGCTGCCTTCTTCGACATTGGTGTAGAATACGAGGGAGATTCCAACGGCTCGATGACAAAAAAATATTTCCCGAATGTCAAGCGTCGTGCGGATGGATTACGAGCCAAGCCCTGATTGATTTCCCTTTCTTGCTGACGGCTGTCTCTTCTTTTCCCTATTATCGTCGAGCAGTAGAACATACAGATGGGCCTGAAGTGAAAATACATATCAATTTACGTAGGGCCGAGGTTTATTGGTGTGTTTACATATGGTGCCATGTAGCATAGGATACAATGTAGGAACATTGCAGGGCCCACACGCCGAGGTGTGTCCTTAACGGAAAATGCTTGTTTTTGGGTAAGCGTGAGCCTTTTATTGCGGGGCCCATCTGTCCTGCGGTACAGACGCCATGTCCATACCTCTCAATAGCTCCCATTATCTCCGACTTTCCGAGGGACAGACTTGCTGCTACGGTAGCTTTGCCGTACTCGTTCACCGGGTTGCCTCCTTCCTCGGAGGTTGCAGTTCTACCTCTTTGACGGTGGCTGCTCTTGCTTTCATCAAGCGTGCCATTCCGCTCCACCCACGACAGAGCGCTCGCAGCCAGCCTCACCGAGACGATCAGCTGGTACGACGGATGCAACCTTTCGACAACCTGCCAACCCGGTGGGATGAAAAGGGGTAGGGTTAAGGTCTACAGGTCGAACCGGAAAAGGGAGCTCCTGGAGCTACTTGAAACGGGACCACCTTCCTACGAGTCTTGTGTCTATACCTGTCCACCGTACGACTGTTTACTTCACCTGTACGACCGCACCCTTTCTCACTCCCGACACTAAGACAGTTGGTCCGTCTTCGGGCCCGGAATGATGCAACATTTGGCCATCGCCATCCTTTGACGACCCGACTTCCTCCCCGAAGTCTACCTTGTTCTCTCGTCCTCCCTGTCTCTCTGTGCTGTCGTCTTGCGCTTTCCCGTTGCCGACCCGTTCTTGCGTGTCTTCCTGGCGCGCGCCACCTCCTTGTTTATCGCGCATGCCTTTGCGTTCGTACTTCTCCGGGTGGGCTCCCTCCGCGTCATCACATTTGTTGACCTCGTCATTAATGGGACGATCTACGTCGGGGATCACCAACGCATCGTCGTCATCTCCCCGGCTAGTCCTGCTCCTATTAGGCGCCTTTACAGGAGTATCGCTCTCGTTTCTCACGTGCTGGGGGGGAGGAGAGAGCAGAGCCTCTGCCGGAGGCTTCAACGCCGTCCCTTCTTCACCCCCAAAACTCTCTTCATCCTCGCGATCACGTCCGGACAGCTCGATAATGCTGATGGCACGGTCCTTCGACAATTCGGGAGCGTCAGAGAGCAGTGGCGGGACGACGGCTGTTTCGTGACCCGAGGATGTCGAAGCTGTCGCTGGGGCCAGCACCTGCTGCACGGGTCTCTCGACGGCGGCTACTGCCATCGTGGTCGCGCTGTCGAACATAGCTGACACTGTTTCTGACACTGCCGCCGACGCAACCTCTTGCGCCCTTTCGGGTGCCACCGAGGTGGCTACCATCGTCGTGATGTCGGCGCTGTCTAGCTTAACCAGAGCCGCCTAGGAATCCGCCGCCGTGTCCACAGCAGAACTGAATACCTCCGCCATTAGACTATTACTACTGCAGCCACAGACTAACACCTTATTATACCTGAATTGCCAATTCGATCGTGGGCGGACGTGTACGGTGTCTTTAGTACGATACAGCGGTTGTGTACGAGGTAAGTATGGTACATTATACTGCTGTAGTTTTCGTGCTACAGGGCAGCGGTAGTTGCGCGCAGTCGTCCATAGTCTAGATGGACGCGTGCTAGCGGACGTGAACGACGAAAATTGCTGGATCATGTTCCACGAACACCGCTGCTGGCGGGTTCCGAGCTAAAGACGAATCACCTTTCCCACCTCGGAGAAGAAAAAAAAAAAAAAAATGACTTCGCAGATCGTTCTCAAACGCCCAAAAACGACGTTTAAAAAAAGTTCCCAAAAAAAAAAAGTTCCCCTTCAGCCCGAACTTTTTTTTTCGCCGCATTGCCGAACTTTTTCGCCACGGGAATCGTCGCCAATCGATTCCGCTTGGTCGAATTAGGGGGGGTAGAGCCACTCAGAAAGTTGGTCAGACAAAAAGTGGTGGTGGGAAGCGGGCTTGAAAATGCTGCGCGGCCAGGGCCCAGCGGTGACTGCCGCTGGCGAATGTACACGCATCATGTATGCTGGCCAAACAAGATACGAGGTTATCCACAAGTGGTCCCCACACGAACGAGGAATCAAGCTTCGCACCACCTTGTTGGACAGCAAGAGGAAGGGCAGAAAAGCCGCGGAGAACACAGGCTACTGCGAGGCTAGCGAAGTGGTTTTGTCCAACTTGGCCCGCGAAAAGGCTGACGCCATCATGGCGGGCAAGCGAAACGCAGCTCGGAAGAACGGCATACCACAAGGCGGCGGAAGCGGGGGTTGC